TGACCCCATAACCGACCCCATAACCCTCTGACCCCATAACCGACCCCATAACCAACCCCATACCTGACCGCATAACCCTCTGACCCTATAACCGACCCTATAACTCCATACCTGACCCCATAACCGACCCCATAACCCTCTGACCCTATAACCGACCCCATAACTCTGACCCCATTGCAGCGCCCCGACCCTACAAAGGAATGTTGGACTACGACCCCATAAACGAACCCCTCCTCATCCGGACCCTCATCACAGGTTTATAGGGCCGCCTCCTTATAGGGTCGGCTCTTTATAGGGTCACCTCCTTATAGGATCAGGATGTGGGGTTATGGGATCAGCTCCTTATAGGGTCGGCTCCTTATAGGGTCGGGTTATGGGATCGGCTCCTTATAGGGTCGCCTCCTTATAGGGTCGGCTCTTTATAGGGTCGCCTCCTTATAGGGTCGGGTTATGGGGTCATGGGATCAGCTGCTTATAGGGCCGCCTCCTTATAGGGTCAGGTTATGGGATCGGCTGCTTATAGGGTCGCCTCCTTGTAGGGTCGGCTTTTTATAGGGTCGCCTTCTTATAGGGTCAGGTTATGGGGTTATGGGATCAGCTGCTTATAGGGCCGCCTCCTTATAGGGTCAGGTTATGGGATCGGCTCCTTATAGGGTCGCCTCCTTATAGGGTCGGGTTATGGGGTTATGGGATCAGCTCCTTATAGGGCCACCTCCTTATAGGGCCGCGTCCTTATAGGGTCGGGTTATGGGGTTATGGGATCGGCTCCTTATAGGGTCGCCTCCTTATAGGGTCAGGTTATGGGGTTGTGGGATCAGCTCCTTATAGGGTCACCTCCTTATAGGGTTGGGTTATGGGATCAGCTCCTTATAGGGTCGCCCCCTTTTAGGGTCGGGTTATGGGATCGGCTCCTTATAGGGTCGCCTCCTTATAGGGTTGGGTCCTTATAGGGTCGGCTCTTTATAGGGTCAGGTTATGGGGTTATGGGATCAGCTCCTTATAGGGCCGCCTCCTTATAGGGCCGGGTTATGGGTTTATGGGATCAGCTCCTTATAGGGTCGCCTCCTTATAGGGTCAGGTTATGGGATCAGCTGCTTATAGGGTTGCCTCCTTATAGGGTCAGGCTATGGGGTTATGGGATCAGCTGCTTATAGGGTCACCTCCTTATAGGGTTGGGTCCTTATAGGGCCGCCTCCTTATAGGGCCGGCTTATGGGGTTATGGGATCGACTCCTTATAGGGTTGCCTCCTTATAGGGCCGGCTTATGGGGTTGTGGGATCAGCTCCTTATAGGGTCGCCCCCTTATAGGGTCGGGTTATGGGATCAGCTTCTTATAGGGTCGGCTCTTTATAGGGTCGACTTAAGGGGTTATGGGATCAGTTCCTTATAGGGTCAGCTTATGGGATCTGGTCCTTATGGGGTCGGGTCTTTATAGGGTCGGTTTATGGGGTCAGCTTTTAGGATGGGCTCTTTATAGGGTCGCCTTATGGGGTCGGCTTCTTATAGGGTCAGTTTATAGGGCCAGGGTTTGGGATCAGCTTCTTATAGGGTCGGCTTATGGGGTTGGGTTTTTATAGGGTCAGCTTATGGGGTCGGCTCCTTATGGGGTGAGTTTATGGGGTTGGCTTTTGGGATCGGCTCCTTATAGGGTCAGCTTATGGGATCTGGTCCTTATGGGGTTGGCTTATGGGGTCAGGTCCTTATAGGGTCCTTATGGGGTCACTATGGGGTCACTATGGGATCTTATGGGATTTATGGGGTCACTATGGGGTCCTATGGGATTTCTGGGGTCCTATGGGATTTTGTGGGGTTTTATTGGGTTTGTGGGGTCCTATGGGGTCTTATAGGGCTTATGGGGTTTTGTGGGATCCTATGGGGTCCTGTGGGGTCTTATAGGGTTTTGTGGGGTCTTATGGGGCTTATGGGGTTTTGTGGGGTCCTATGGGATTTATGGGGTCCTATGGGGTCTTATAGGGTCCTATGGGATCTTATAGGGCTTTTGGGATTTTGTGGGGTCTTATGGGGCCCTATGGGGTTTTGTGGGGTCCTATGGGGTTTTTGGGGTCTTATAGGGCTTATGGGGTCTTATAGGGTCCTGTGGGGTCCTATGGGATTTATGGGGTCCTGTAGGGTCCTATGGGGTCTTATAGGGTTTATGGGATTTTGTGGGGTCTTATGGGGTCCTATGGGGTTTATGGGGTCCTGTGGGGTCTTATAGGACTTATGGGGTTTTGTGGGGTCGTATGGGGTTGTATGTGGTCCTATAGGGTCTTATGGGATTTATGGGGTCCTGTTGGGTCCCATGGGGTCTTATAGGGCTTATGGGATTTTGTGGGGTCCTATGGGGTCCTCTGGGGTCCTCTGGGGTCTTATAGGGCTTATGGGGTTTTGTAGGGTCGTATGGGGTCTTATGGGGTTTATGGGGTCCTGTAGGGTCCTATGGTGTCTTATAGGGCTTTTGGGATTTTGTGGGATCCTATGGGGTCCTGTGGGGCCTTATAGGGCTTATGGGGTCTTATGGGATTTATGGGGTCCTGTGGGGTTTATGGGGTCTTATAGAGCTTATGGGGTTTTGTGGGGCCTTATGGGGTCTTATGGGATTTATGGGGTCCTTTGGGGTTGTATGGGGTCTTACAGTGCTTATGGGATTTTGTGGGCTTGATGGGGTTGATGGGATTTGTGGGTTTCCCCATAGACTTTTATAGGGCTCCTCCTCTTTGACCTTCCTAGAGCTTGACCCTACCAAGATGGCCGCCGCGCTGCCCTGCCTCCCCGCCTACATCCTCTTCCTGTGCATCCGGCGCGCCGATGACGTCAACGACGCGCGACGCCTGCAGTCCCTGCTGGGAGCCGCCATCAACGCCATCAAAGCCGTCCTGCAGGTGAGCGCAAAGACCCCATAAGGACCCCATAAAAACCCCATAGAGGCCCCATAAGGACCCCATAGAGGGCACAAACCCCCAACCCCATAAAGACCCCAGAGAGACCCCATAACGACCCCATAGAGGCCCCAACCCCATAAGGACCCCATAGAGACCCCATAAAGGCCCCATAGAGGCCCCAAACCCCCAACCCCATAACGACCC